GCAGCCGAGCAAGCTTCTGCTACCATGGCTGTCACTATCTTTCTACAAGCCTTGGCATCATCCTGCTCTATACACGTGTACTCGACCGCTAAGATCACAGATTTCTACATCATAACAAGCACGAAACCCCTTCGTGACTGAACCTTACGCCTCGCAAAAAAACTGGAGTCGATAACCTTGCTTACACCATTAACAAACTTAGCACATACTTCTGTGTCCTCAATCAGATCGGGATTTAACAGTGTATAGATCTCCAAAAACTCCCCCAAGGTTGGTTTAGCAAGTTGTTCACGGTTGCTCATGTGGGCAAGCGATTCCTTCTCAACAGGAAGACCTGTTCTGGCACCGCCTTGGCAGTAGAATTGTCATCCTCGCTTTTCACCGCTACACACACCTCCGAAATCAGATCAGACTTGGGCACGGAAGGTTGTCTTGGAATAAAACCAAACATAACAGGCACGGCAAAACTCCTCCACTGCGTAATCTTGTCAACAACTGTTTTAGCAATCCTCATAGCAGCAGACTTTATGGGCTCAAATCCAGTAGCCTTTTTCTTCCCCTTGGAAGAAGTCAAGTCAATCATGAGCCCCCTAACAGTGGATAGACCCTTGTGAGTAGTAGAAGAAGTCTTTGGCTTTTTCTCCATCAATAGCTCTCAAGTAGGCGACGAAGATCTCTTTCTTCCACCTCCACTAGGAACATGCTCCATGATGGCTATTGGATGAGCGAGTGCCTCACCCTTAATCTTTCTAATCTCCTTCTACAGAGACAACCCACTTTTCTCCCTGCGAAGAGGACTAAGCAACCACTTTTCTCCCTGCACACTTTTCATGTTTAGAGAAGTCTTAGGAGTTGAACCAAATTCCGAATTGACATAAATAGAGGAGAACAAATCAAAAGACATCTAAACAAGAAGTATAAAGAAGTTTAGAGACTAAGCAACCCAATTCATAAGATAAGCGAGGCACGCGCCTCAACCTTGCCTCTCTTCCTTCCTCCATCACTACATGGGCCTAAGCCTAGCAGCTTAGGATTGGTGCCCCAGCGCCAAGGTCTATGCGCACAGGCCTGAGCCTAGCGCACCTGGCCCACCCCAGCTACACACAAAGTACGTTCAGTTTCATCACTTGAGCTAGACCGAAAACGGAAGCCTAGCACTAAGTTCAATCTCCAACAACAACGCAGCTCGTGTTACTAGCCTTCAGCCCAAGCCGAGCCCTTTTCGTGCCATGCCGACCATAGCAGTAGCAGCACAATAGCCCCACGGTTGCACAATTCCCCGCGTCCTTGACCTTCGTCAAGCCAATATTTAAGCCCCAAGGCTCTAAAAAAATCATGAAGAAAGAGAAATTTAATTTTTTTTTCTTACCTTGGAGAAGAAGAAAAACAACAGAACACAATTCTTTGCATGGGCAAACGAAGAAGATTGCTAGGGAGGAGGAACAAATATCCTCTGGCTTTCTCTCTTTCTTGCGGGGATTTAATTGCACTCTAAATTTATGTAACCCCCTGCTTGGCGCAGACTTAAATAGGTTTTGGTGGCAATTACATTCCTTTTCCTAGAAGAATTTAAATTCCAAATCAAAAAGGGAATCTACATTAAATTGGGACACAAACTCCATGGCAGCTTTGGATTCCTACACCTCATGCCTTTTCCTGCGAGTAGGTGAGCATATGTGGGGGCATTTGTGGAGCCAAAAATAAACCCAAAAATCATGGAGCTGACACGTGGATTATTTTCCAAGAAAGAAAAGACTACCCCTATTAAATAAGCAAGAAGCAGTCTCATTCACCACGCGCAGCTGAGGTTGAGCATGCAGAGATCAATGACTACTCAAGGTACTCTGTCTGTAGGAAAAGTCAAAGATATTTATGAAAGGATAATTCCTTATTCTTATCTTAAATACATTCATAATCAGAGAAGACCTATTTCAAGTAAGTTATCCTAATTCCATTTATTTAGGATATTTACCTAATTACTCCAAGATATTTATTTACACAAATATCTTGGAATATTCCACCCAAAATCCACCTTAGGGCTAGCCACCCCTAAACCTTAGAGGGCCGGCCCACTTCCTCATTTTCTCCTATAAATACACCCTTTATCTCCAAAATTCAGGAGGTTTTTTGCTACCCACAAATACTCAAACACATTCTTTCTAGAATTCTAACTTTAGCATCAAAGATTCTTCGCCCAAAGCACCCCCCCATTTATCGTAGGCGCGTAAGGTTTTTGGCCTTAATTTTAGGTGTTATTATTTTGCAGGTGCATTTTTGTCAAAGGAAAAAAAGGCGAAAATTTGCATCCACACTTGATGTTCACACTCTATTTATTACTATTACATTGGAACTACATTTATGCACATCCACAAACGGAGGTAAAATTTAATCGAACTTGCCCATGATCTTTAGCGAGGAGTGAGAATGAGAATTGAGGGGTGTGGTTGAATTCGAATAGAACTTTCTACATATCTCCGAAAAGGAGAATTAAACCATGGGTGTAATTATAGGAAAGAATGGTGTGATGTGCGATACATCGTGAACCATCTTTAACGAATAGCTTATGGCGAGGTGTTAAGGAAATGAGTTCTTTATGGACGTGTCTATGCGTAGACGACAATGTATATGCAGGATGAGCTTCTGTTAGGATTATAGAGAATATGTGTACCTTTCATTGTGATTGATTAGAGAATCCAGAGTTAAGTCTTGAGTCTTAAAAGACTTAGCTGAGTATTTATAGAAATCTAGATAGTCCTTACAGGGAAAGTGATCCCAATTAAATCAGGAGACTATTTAGGAGGAAATCTAGGATAAGATACCCAATCTTCTCTAGAATCATGTTTACATTGCCTAATTCCTAAGATGTCCTAATTTGACTTAAATTAGGGTTTCCTTACTTGGGAGACAAGTAGTTCTTTAATAGAATTTTGTCTAACCACATTTGTCTAACTTCACTTGGTATTATGACTTTGTCTGACTTGTCTAATCTGACTAAGGCTAGTCCGACTTAACTAAGGTAGTTCAGTAGTCCAACCTGACTAAGGTAATCCGGAAGTCCGGTAGTCCGACCTGACTAAGGGGCCTATAATACTAAGGGCCTATAAGTGCAACATGTTTTGATCCACATCAGGCCTCTTAGTTTGTTTACTTGCTCGTCAAGTGCTATGGGCATTTCGGTCATTCTCGCCGCCCAAGGTACCACATATTAAATATGTTTAAGTTTCAAGTTCTATATAATGTATAGACACAAATCTCAAAATTTAAACATATTTAATCGTAGTTAATAGGATGACAAGCATTAGCACCACTCGAGTTGTTAGCAAAAATGCACCCTACAAAATTTTTAACGAGAACTATCAAAATATTACTTTAGGAGCTCTATAAAAGAATACTCCATTACTTCAAAGAATCATAATGACTATTAGTCAATAATTCATAATGATTATGACTCAGTTAGCCAATATAAATTAAATATTTACTTAAAACAATTAGCATTAATTATAGAGAACCATTAGGTGCTCCTTTTTCCTTTCCTATATTACAGTTGATTTTTTAAAAATCCTTTCTAAATTTGAGTTAAGAGCTCATTTTAGAAGCCTATTGGAAAGGGTAATGCTAAGGTAATCCTCTCTAAATTCTAGTTAAGTTTTCATTTAAAAACCTCTCGGACAGTACTATAGACAACTTGTAAGCATATGTGATGAGCAAATAAATCATATGAAAACATGCCGTGGATAATTCTTACAAATAAAAGTTTTTTTTTTTTTTTTCCTCCGGCTAAAAGCAATCAAATCAAGTTTAATTACATATATGCATTCCTTGGTACTCAATTTCAAGTCTTACATAACCATATAAAACTCATAATTTATCACTCTCCAAAACTCATGTCGCTTTAAACTCAACTTGTGTCTCAATTTGCCCCATACTACCAAAAAAAAAAAAAACGTATATAAATCAGTTAAAACCGTATACGTGTTACAAATAAGATCCATTGTTGCTTCAGATGTAAACCACATAAGTGCTGTGTGGTTGAAAATTTATTTAAAAAAAGTAAAACTCTAACAAAACCGAATCTATTTGTGCAACTTAAACAGTTTTAATATAGATTCATTAACGGAGTTTGACTATAAGGGGCAAATTTAAGACACGTGAGAGTTAAGTGAGGCTTGAGTTTTGTTTTCAGGGTGTTGTTGTTTGTTTCCGAATTTAGAAAAACAGTTACCACAAATAAGTCATTAAACTTTATTTATTTATTTTTTTTAAAAGGGAACAACTGGTGGCAAGTCACAGTTATCCTTTTTTTTTTTGAGACCCAGAAAACTTAGCCTCTCTTGGCCACAAGTCTAGCTTCCCCACTAACAGCACGTTTCGAACCCAAGATCTCCAGTTTTTAATTTTAAGGAAGCCTCGTAATCTGCCATTTACCACTAGATCACCAGCTTGTGGTTAAATAAGTCATCAAACTTAAAACTCGATAGATGTGGTGAACCTGCACTTCAAGAATTTAAATAATAATTCAAAAAAAAAAGTACATCCAAGTCATTAAGTCCATGAGAGCATGCCCATTAAGACCATATGGATTTTTTATGCGCATTTGAGAAATGTAAAGTTCTTCTGTCACTTAATAATACTGTTTAATAATATTTTTCTTAATTTGTAATTGCAAGATTTTAAATTTTAATATTATGATTAATTAGTTTCATATATTTTTATTTTTTCACCTACAATGATTACGTAGTTAATTTGAATATGAAATATATTCCTGAAAAGACAACATCCCACGTTTTTTTGCCACCCAAGGCTTCGGTACATTTTGAAATAGAGATCTTTCTACTAGAGCAGGTGCTATCCGAGAACAATTAACCGATTTGGATTTACAAATTATAGCGTTATATCAAAAAAGAAAATAAAGTTTTTATTCCATCACTGTAAATTTACATTTGGGCCATTATGGAGTGAAATTAAAAAACTTCTTAATCCCAATAAGTTGGGCTTTACTTAAGACTTTTGAGGGCCCAGGTACACCGATCAGGGGAGGTAGGGTTTTTTAACCTTCACTTGTCATAGAGTTCTGGAAGACAAAGTGCTTTTGCAGCCAGCAACACTCAGCAGCCAGAGCAGCGGCGCCTCTCCCTCATCGCAAAATGGGTGTTTTCAGGGTGAGCCGCGATGATCTTACTATGTCGATCTTATTTATAACAACCCAGTTTTTTGTTTTCAGAAATCATTTTCTGTGATTTTATTTCGTTTTTCAGTCAGTTTTTAGCTTTTTGTTTTCCGATAGCATGGATTTAGAGAGATTAAAATGGTGGGTTTTGTTTTGTTGAAACAGTTTCACCAGTACCAGGTGGTGGGGAGAGCCCTACCGACTGAGAAGGATGAGCACCCCAAGATCTACCGGATGAAGCTCTGGGCCACCAATGAGGTCCGTGCCAAATCCAAGTTCTGGTAAGTTCTTTTACATCTTTATCTATTTTGCTCTATGCCTTGTATTTGGTTCATGAAAATTGTTGGGAATGGAAAAAGATATAACTTTTAATATTAGATTTTTTGGTAATTTATGGTTTATAATACCAGATAAACTGAACCCACACTTACCGTTGGTGCTAATCTAACTAATTTGTATTTTATATATTTGTTTTTATTTTTGAATGGTGTAAATCAAAGTAAAATAAGCATAATTTTATAGTTCCGTGAAAGGGCAAAACTTGTCTGCACTTGTGAGATGAACCAACTGATTGCGTTTTGAATTTGCTCTAGGATGATAGTAGGGGCCAGGAAGTTGAGTCCTAGAATGGTTGTCGTCGTGGTTGTTTTGGTCTTGGCCTCCCTGTAAACCGAAAAGCGAGAGAAATTTAATTCTGTATAAGATTAATCAACTTTTCATTATTGTTCACGAATGCTTCATCTTTTGCTGTGTTTTTTTGGGTTTTCAATCTCATTCGGATGTTGTTCTCTTGATGTGTATTTTTATCATTAGGTACTTCTTGAGGAAGTTGAAGAAAGTGAAGAAAAGCAATGGACAAGTTTTGGCCATCAATGAGGTATGCATCTTACATTTTCGTCATCTCTCTCGTACTCTATGAACCAACATGAAGTTCTTTTACCGAATGTCTGTTGGCTTCTTAAGCTGGGCCATGATTCAGATAAAAATTCGTTCTAGTTTGATTGTTTATGCTTAACCTAGAGCTTAATTGACTGTGAACTCAGTTTCTGATAACGTTTCATATATTGTTTTGATAAAAGTTCCGGGGTTTTTTATTCCTTAGATATACGCTTATATTATGTGGTAGCAGCTTCTGGAATAGGGTTGTCATTTAAGTTTTAACTTTTAAGGTTCTTTTTGGTGTAACGTTGGACGACACTAAGTTGAACATGTTGAGACTGAGAGGAACTGTATTGCTAGTGTTCTTTACCGTTTAGTATTCAGGGTATTTGGGTTGAAAAGAATAATTCTGATATTGTTGATTGCAGATTTTTGAGAAATATCCTACTACCATCAAGAACTATGGGATTTGGCTTCGATATCAGAGCCGAACTGGTTATCACAACATGTACAAGGAGTACCGAGACACAACTCTCAACGGTGCTGTTGAAGCCATGTACACTGAGTTGGCATCTCGTCACAGGGTGAGGTTTCCGTGCATCCAAATCATCAAGACAGCTACCATCCCAGCAAAACTCTGCAAGAGGGAGAGCACCAAGCAGTTCCATAACTCCAAGATCAAGTTCCCGTTGGTGTTCAGGAAGGTTAGGCCCCCAAGCAGGAAGCTCAAGACGACATACAAGGCGTCCAGGCCCAACCTCTTTATGTAATCTCGTTATGTCCTAAGGGTTCCCTTCATCCGAAGGCTTTGCATTTTAATTAGTTAAACTAGTTACCGGATTTTTGCTTCGTGGGAGTATGAACATCTTTTTTTCTATTATCTGGATTGTTTCAGTTTTGAAGATTGCACACTTTACAAGTTCAGAATGAATTTAATGAGCTTGGTACTTTCGCTTATGCTTTTCATTTGATACCTTTTCAAGTATGAGCATCATTACTTTTGATAAGGAATTTTGTCTCGGATGCCCGGCTTTCGGCCTGATTTCGTTGGTCTCTTTTTTGCGTATGCTGTGCTGCATGTAATCTGTATCTGCAGATGAGTATCTGGTGAGATTTCCCGGTAACTAGGCGGAGCAATACGGTGAACATTTGCCCTCAACGTCTTGAGTTCGATTTTCTGCCTTCACCGATGTCGTTTGATCGAATAACAAGTACATATATGATGAGTCGATGACCAAGGCTTCCTCAGGGAGAAAAATGAATCATGTCATGTACCTCCCAAATGAAAATGGATTAGAATCACAATTTTGCTAGGGTTACACTCAATAGTAACTAATAAGATTTCTTCAGCTACCCTTCTCATAAACGAGAGACTACTTTTCTCCAAATTATCATATGAAAATCAGACAATGTGTTAATATTACAAAGAAAAGAAACGTATCAAACTGTGATTTATCTTGAACAGTAATTCCTTAAATGTAAATAATCAAGTTTTAACCCAAACCAAAACATCCCCTTGGCTTTGTTTTTGGGCTGAAGGCCGAGGTATCCCACTCTCCCAAGAATAGGGGTAATTCCAATGATGCCCATAAAGGATAAAAGCATATCGGTCTACCTCACGCCAGTCAAATAACATACGTCATCCTGAAACTTTCAATAAGAGAATTACCGATGTTTTTATCAATTTCGTGACTAAAAGCAAACCTGACTTGAAATTCTACCGCATTTATATTGTACCATTTTGCCGTGGATCCCCTCGCTTGCAATGACGATGGGTTTGGTGGCCGTAACACAAATATAACTAAACCACGTGTCGTGAAAACCATGGGTGTAGTTGGAGGTGGTGGTTGGTAGATGGAAACCATACATAAATGGAAGTGGAAACACAAGTACAGACATTTGCCTTGTCTCTCTACCAGACCAGTGACTTGGGTTGCTATCAACAACTCCATTGTTAACGTAAGTTGTCCTTCGTTGTTTGATCAATTGTTTCTGTTCCAGCTTCCATACTAGGATTATTCATAAACATTTGGAACTAATTATCTGGGATTACACAATCCATCTTTTGCTTTCTTTCTGATAAATTCGTTTCTGCAGTTTGTTAGATTATAACCCACAAGTTAACCATTCGTTGAAATGGTACAGGAAGTTGTAAATACAGATGAGGTAAATCTTCTTATGCATTTATAATTGAATGAATCGACCGAACGCAGTGGCATTCTAGGATTTATATAGCCGACCCCATTTAGTGAATAAGGCTTTGCTGCTGCTGTTGTTGTTGTTGTTGTTTGTACTTCTGCTGAAATTACTGTTTGTGAATTACTTGATGGGTGTTTGCGTGAGTGATGTTTAAGTTTCTTGTTGGAGAAGAAATAGAGCATGTGAGGTTGATCACTTTGAACAGGCCTCGTCAGTTGAATGTCATCTCATCAAAAGTGGTATGCTCAATCGATTTTGCGTCTATTTGTTGTTTCGTTCGAGTTCTTGATATCATTTCCTTTTCGTTCGTAATTTAATTGTTTTTACTTCAATAGGTTTCTTTGGTAGCTGAAATTAGAAAATGAAATTACTCATAATTCTCTTTTGGCAGAGGATTCTTGCCTTGAAGTTGTTTACAGAATGTATTGGCTCTGCTACCACATTCATACTTACAAGAAAACCCAGGCAATGTTTCGAGAAAAGTAGCTTTCTGTGATGCATTTATTCCAAGTTTATGTCATTGTTGAAGGTATCACAGAGGAAATCGTGTTAATTAGGTGGCTCTGGTTCATGGAATTTCAATGGGTGGAGGCAGATCTTTGATGGTCCCAATGAAGTTCTCAGTACTCACAGAAAAAACTCTGAGTAACATCTCTATCCTTGGTGTTCACCGGCTTGATATTTACTTCTGCATAAGTGAAAATCAAATTTTTCTGTGGTATATTTCTTGATAACTTTTTGCCACTCCGGAAGCTAGCATTTCATACTGACTGTGGTTTCTCATATATGCTTTCCCATCTTCCTGGGCATCTCGGTAAGCATGCTGATAAAAAGGAAAAGAAGTTTCCACGATTTTTCTGAGACTGATTGATATCATGTGGAGAATGCAGGGGAGTTCTTGGCCCTAACAGGAGCAAGGCTGAATGGTAAGGAATTGGTTGCAGCTGGACAAGCAACCCATTTTTTCCCTCTTGAGGTAACTTTCTCACTCTTCGCTATAATTTTCTTCCACCGTAAACCAAGTATTGGAAGCATTGGTGCACAAGATTTTCCGTAACAATCTAGAAGACTGCATTGTAGGCTTCTCGTTTTGTGAGCGTTGTTATAGATCCACTGATAAACTCTTAATAGCTTTTATATGAAACTGAAATTTGTTATTGAACTGTGTTTTTGCATCAGAAAATCTCTGATCTAGAGAAGCGTTTGATAAGCTTAAACTCTGGAAATGAGAATGCAGTCAAAGCTGTGATTGAAGAATTTTCTGTGGCAGTCAAGCCTGATGAAGAAAGTGTTTTAAACAAGAAATAAATCTTAGTTGCCGATGTTTATTGCTAATTCCACTTCGATCCTTGGAGTCAGCACACAAATCTCTGTAGGTGATATCATTAAGCTTTCCTTACCTTTTTCAGGAAGTCAGTAATTGATGGGTGCTTCTCCAAAGATACAGTGGCTGAGATTATACAATCCCTTGTAAGTTACTTTTTCTCTTTTCATCAGAAAAATGCAGATTACGGTCTTTTCTCGGGAATAAATTCTACAAATATGTGTTTACTTTTCAGGAAGCAGAAGCAAACAAAGAAGGAAATGGATGGATAGGTCCAGTTCTTAAGGGCTTAAAGAGGTCATCGCCTACAGGATTGAGAATAACTCTAAGATCGGTACGGTTTCTTACAGTTTGATAATGCATATTGGGTTTTGAGTCCTACTGCTTAGTAGGATGGTTTTGTGTCATTTCTAGTCAATGGAAGCCCGAAAACTTGAATATCCATGGGAATGGAACCCCTTCACAATTCCTTGTGCCTTCGATCGATACATTTCATGTTTAAGTTGCCTCTTGACCTATTATTCTTCAGATTCGCGAAGGCAGGAAGCAAACATTGTCTGAATCTCTGACGAAGGAATTTGGATTCACAATCAATATATTAAGATCCACAATTTCTGAGGATGTTTATGAGGTAATTGTCGGATAACGATATTACTAACTAGAACATGTACTATGGTCATTCCCATGCGGAAAATTTCATCTCTCTGTTGGAGCAAAATTTCTTACGGGAAGAAATACCTCCACAGGTTGGTTGACCGCAATCCTCACGTTCACCAAATCCCTCGTAAGAGGCATCTCCGAACAATCTTTCTCCGTAGCTTGTCAGTCCATTGAGTTTCTATTCTCTGGTTTCTCTCGGTCTCCTTGCTCCTTGGCTCCTCTCCATATTTATAGGACTACATGTTTGGAGAACAAGTACCACGATCTGTCTTCCTCTCCCTCTTCCTTAGTGGCCCTCCGTAGTGGAGGTAGTTATCTAGACATGGCATACATCCTTGGGAAATCAGTACCACGACTTGTCTTCCTCTCCCTCTTCCTTAGTGGTCCTCCGTAATGGAGGTAGTTATGTATACTCGTTTCCCTTCTCTTGCGTGTGTATATTTCTTGTGGGCTTTCCTCACAGTTTATCTTGCATAAAATCATCTCTTTGGATGTCTGGTATTGGCCCATGAGTCGAAACCGGATTTTATCCTCCCACAATGCCTCCATTTTCCCTTTTTTACGATGCAAAATAAGGGAAAACTGAGTCTTTCAATTGCATGAGGCCTTTAAACTATATTCTTTAAGCCAAGCTAAAACTTCAAGCATTTCTTTCTAAAGCCCAATTTGTGGAAGCCACTTTTTCTAAGGCCTAATTTACTACAGCCTTTGCCTAACTCTCGAATGCTCTGACATCTTCGCAAAATTTAGGAACTATCATCTTAGCATATCTTTGATTTTGACGACGATTTCGAACAAACTTCGGCCTGATTTCGTTGGTTTCGTTTTTGCGTATGCTGTGCTGCATGTGATCTGCATCTGCAGATGAGTATCTGGTGAGATTTCCCGGTAACTAAGCGGAGCAATACGGTGAACATTTGCCCTCAACGTCTTGAGTTCGATTTTCTGCCTTCACCGATGTCGTTTGATCGAATGACAAGTACATATATGATGAGTCGATGACCAAGGCTTCCTCAGGGAGAAAAATGAATCATGTCATGTACCTCCCAAATGAAAATGGATTAGAATCACAATTTTGCTAGGGTTACACTCAATGGTAACTAATAAGATTTCTTCAGCTACCCTTCTCATAAACCAGAGACTACTTTTCTCCAAATTATACTATGAAAATCAGACAATGTGTTAATATCACAAAGAAAAGAAACGTATCAAATTGTGATTTGTCTTGAACAATAATTCCTTAAATGTAAATAATCAAGTTTTAACCCAAACCAAAACATCCCTTAGGCTTTGTTTTTGGGCTGAAGGCTGAGGTATCCCACTCTCCCAAGATCAGTCTACCTCGCAACACAGTCAAATAATATACGTCATCCCAAAACTTTCAATAAGAGAATTACCGATGTTTTTGTCAATTTCGTGACTCAAACCAGGTACCAAAAGCAAACCTGACTTGAAATTCTACCACATTTCTATTGTACCATTTTGCCGTGGGTCCCCTCGCTTGTAATGACGATGGGTTTGGTGGCAGTAACACAAATATAACTAAACCACGTGTCGTGAAAACCATGGGTGTAGTTGGAGGTGGTGGTTGGTAGATGGAAACCATACATAAATGGAAGTGGAAACACAAGTAGACATTTGCTTTATCTCTCTACCAGACCAGTTACTTGGGTTGCTATCAACAACTCCATTGCTAACGTAAGTTGTCCTTCGTTGTTTGATGAATTGTTTCTGTTCCAGCTTCCATACTAGGATTATTCATAAACATTTGGAACTAATTATCTGGGATTACACAATCCATCTTTTGCTTTCTTTCTGATAAATTCGTTTATGCAGTTTGTTAGATTATAACCCACAAGTTAACCATTCATTGAAATGGCACAAGAAGTTGTAAATACAGATGAGGTAAATCTTCTTATGCATTTATAATTGAATGAATCAACCGAGCGCAGTGGCATTATAGGATTCATATAGCCGACCCCACTTAGTGAATAAGGCTTTGCTGTTGTTGTTGTTGTTGTTTGTACTTGTGCTGAAATTACTGCATGTGAATTACTTGATGGGTGTTTGCGTGAGTGATGTTTAAGGTTCTTGTTGGAGAAGAAATAGAGCATGTGAGGTTGATCACTTTGAACAGGCGTCGTCAGTTGAATGTCATCTCATCAAAAGTGGTATGCTCAATCGATTTTGCGTCTATTTGTTGTTTCGTTCGAGTTCTTGATATCATTTCCTTTTCGTTCCTAATTTAATTGTTTTTACTTCAATAGGTTTCTTTGTCCAACTCCTTCATATTGTTGTGCATTCAAGGCTCGATTTGCAATTAAAGTCTTGGCATCAATTGGTGTTTTGTCAACCAAAGCACCACCTGTCGAAGCATCTAGCATTTATCTTTCAATTGAAAGGAGTCATTCGCAGAAATATTGAATTAGAAGCTCTTCTTTCATTTGGTGTTGAGGGCATGATGCAACTGAAGTCTTGAAATGCTCATAATATGCTGGAAAGGATTCTCCTTGGTTTTGTTGAATGCCACTAATCTTCTTCCTCAAAAAAATGACTCTTAAAGTTGGGAAAAATTTCTCTAAGAATGCTCTCTTCTTATTTTCCCAAGAGGTGACGGTTCCAGGTGCCAATTCATACAACCAATCCTTAACTTTTTCCAAAAGAGAGAATGGAAAAGCTTTCATCTTCAAAATGTTGCCATCCATGTTGATTGGGGTCATGCTTGAACATATCACTTCAAATTTCTTCAAGTGCTTGTTTGGATCTTCCATGGATAGCCCATGGTATTTGGGAATATGATGCAGCAAGCTAGACTTCAATTCGAACTCATCGGTCTTGTCTTGAGCTACCCTAGGATATTGAATGCATAGGGGTACGGCATTGTACAATCCTGAGGCTGAAAGTTCCTTAATTGTTCAATTATCCGCAGCCATAAGTTGTTCTTCCTCTTCCTCTTCTTCAAACTCAGATTCAGAGCTAGAACTAGGTGGATTAGGTTCTGGCTCCTTCCTCTTTCTTCTCAAAGTTCGTTCAAAATTGTCGTCAAAATCAAAGATATGCTCACGAACCGGTTGAGAACTTTGAGTTATAAACTAGTACCCAAAAACAAGAAAACAAAACAAAGTCAGAAACTAAAACAAAATACACAAAAAAAAAAACAAGGGGGATTAGCAAAGTTGCTAATCCCCAGCAACGGCGTCAAAAATTTGATGTGTTATAAACTAGCGCTCAAATTTAACCCTCTTTTTGACAATTGTAGTGAAGGGAAAATATGAGATTTATGTGGGATTTCTAGTGACTAGCATGCATATACAATTCAAAATTTATATACGAAAGCAACGGAAGCATGTCATACATTTTATCAAAGCTATAGTCATGCAAATCCCCTTCAAGATGCATAGGTTTATATATGATGCATCAAAAACAATTTATTGAAGAACAAAGTTTAGGAGTAGTATTATACCTCTTGATCTAGATCTAAGACCAAGGATTGACCACCTCCAAGCTCTTTGCTCCTTGAACTCCTTGAGCCTAGCCTCCCTCCTTGCCTCCTCCACTTTGTTGAGAATGAGTGCTCCTAGGTCCTCTTCAAGTTTCCAAAGATATGAAAACCTCTAAAGATCCTCACCCACTTTGTAATGAGAAAGATGAAGGAATAACCAAAAGGGTGATAAGATGATTAGCTAATTCATCCCTATGGTGGCCGGCCTTTGAAGTTAGAGAGAGATTGATTTTCTTTTCTTTTGTGTTTTATGAACCACCTAACACACTCACACACACTTTCATTATTATGTTCCTTTTATTACATAAAGAAACAAGTCAACAATTGACCCACTCTCTCCCTTCTCTTTGGCCGGCCCTTTGTGTTTAGTTTGGGCTTTGGGCTTTTAATTATTTCAAGTCATCCAATGCTTGAATAAAAGCCCAATGGGTTTTGGCCCAATGGGCCCAATTAAACCCGAACGTTTCTTTAAGCCCAAAACGATCTTTATCGCTTTTATGATTTCTTTAGACTTTCTAAATTAATCAAAACACTTAATTAATCCAATTAATTATTTCCTTCATCCATTAGTTACTCACTACAAGAGTGTATTGGTGAACAATCTTTTAGGTTCTAATTAGCAAGGCAGTGAGGTGATTGGCACCAATCCAATTGATTATCCAATCACTTAGTGAATTAAAACTTACTTTTAATTCACCTTCCTTTTAATGACTATATTTAATCATCTAGAAGAACTCACAAGCCATGAGTGACATCTAACCATATATCATGGCTACCCAAGCTAATGTAGAAGTTATTCGGAGAACCTATTCAGTTGGAATTACAATGTAATTCGATCCTTCTCTAAAACAATACTCTCAATCACATTACTAGGGTATGGATTTATAATGTCAAACCCCTAATGTGATTATTCCTTCTTATATGATTCATTTGAGACGTATAGGAACGCTTTCCTTTATTACGCTCGATACTTCGGCCGAAGATTCCCGAATCATATCTTAGAGTATTCATCCTCTCTTATCGAGGATTAGAGATTCCTTGTTGCGCATTCACTTGCCTTCATGGCTAAGTGGCTTAACCCCAACGATGCCTTGGACACTCGCGAATGGAATGACTTTAACATAATCAAAGATTAAGTACTTAACCACAAGACAACGACGATGCCTCAGGTCAAAGGATTACTTACATTATTCCAACCATTAGAGTTACTTGCTTGACATGTGAGTAGACCTCCATGCAAGTACTCTCGTTCGATTGTGTTCAGTGAACTCATTCCCTTAATGAGCACCTACATGCTTGTCTTAGTGTCGCTACACGAATGGGATGAGACTTTCCATCCTTCCAATTGAAGCGGACATAGTATGTACCAGTCTATGGATTGTCAGTATCCCTCCGACAATCCTTATGACCAGGAACCTTTTTGGACATGATGGTTATGAGAAGAAGGTCTCTGTAATCTAACATCATTAGGTTACTTCTTCCATCGATCCATTGTCCATGGATTCACTATTTAGGACATATTTCGTTCATTGAGATAGTCCTAATTAGTATCTTTGCCTTCCGATGTATAAGAGTCATATATACATCAATTCATTGTCCTGAAAGGTTTCTTCCAAAGATTGACTTTCAGGGCATATTTCCAACATGTAGTATGGATAAGTAGGGATCGTTCTAGGCCGGGGATTAGGAGGGATCACTAATCTACTCAAATTAGACTCAATTACACTAACCTAGACTCAAAAACAGAAAACTAGACTCTAATAACTCAAAACAAACTAGAATGACTCAAAACAGCACAAAACAAGCAAATTGACTCAAAACAGAAACTAAGATTGATTTTGGATGAATTCTAACTTAACTTTGACTCAAAACACTAAAGGAAACAAATCTAAACAGGTTCTAACTAAGTAAACACGAAATATTAAAAGGGGGGATTGGTTTTGACGAATTTAAAGTAAAAGCAAACAAATTGCAGAAACAAAGTAAACTGACACGAATTTGGGTGAATTGATGGGTGATAAGCTAGCTAAAGGGTTCTTCTCCACACATGACACATATGCATACAAATCGATTTCCAATTATTATTCCAATAAACCATGAACCTCAACGCCCTAGATTAACTGTGAACAACACTAATTAACCCTCAGATTTTCTTTAAGTCATTGAATTGGATGGAATATGCATCAGCAACCAAATAATTCTTCAATAGTTCCCTACATGAACATCATAATAGAGATACAACCAACGATCATTAAGCTTTGTGAAAATCATAAGCATTGACAAGGCATTCGTAAATATGAAAAGCATGATACTCCTGCCAGGAATTTTATTTAATACAATTATGACTAGCAACCTCCATTACTTGCAAATATAAGTTCATAACGATTAGGTGAAAGTCCCTTATATTTTAGCATCAAATTCATGCATGCAAACTAAGTAGGCCTCCTTAATCAACATACAAGAATAAGTTATCAATCAAGCAGTTAAGCAAATTGCATTCACGATTTATGAAACAATAATTGGATGAAATCAATTCATATCACATATATGCTCATGACTTTGAATTCTCCTCTAGCCAAAATGAAATTAGTTTCTGATGCGTGAATTATACGCACACAAATTAAACCCTCTTTTTGACAATTGTAGTATAGATATGTAAGTAGGGATCGTTCTGGACCGGGGATTAGGAGGGATTGTTAATCACTTGGATTTGACTCAAAAACGTAAAAACACAATATAAAACACTATACTAGACTCAAAGAATGCAAAACTAAACTTTAAAACACTAAAACAAATCAAAAGACTCAAAACAACACCAAAACACTCAAAACTGCCTTAAAAACACTTTCTGGGCAGTTTTGAGCACTTTTGAGTACTTTGGACGAATTTGGGTAATAACTTGAATCAAAACACTTAGAAACACAAACTAAGACACTTTCTAACTATATTGGACACTAAAGTAAAGGGGGATTGAGTTTTTGACGAAATTAACTAAAATGCACAAATTGTATTTAAAAACAGATTGTAAAGATGAATGTGATGGAATTGAGTGGATGGGATGGCTAGCTAAGGGGTTCATCTCCATACATGTTACACTTGCATAATAAAAAGATTTCCAATTGCATTTCAATAAACCATGAATTCTCAACACCCCAAGTTAACCGTGATGCACTAATTAACCTTCAAATCTTCCTAACGTTATTGAATTGGATGATTGCATACGACAACCCAAAACATTCCCCACAAGTCCCCTACATGATTGCATAATAGAGATACAAGCAAGAATCATTACGCTCTATGAAAATTGTAAGTGTTGACGAGGCATTCGTTACTATGATTGCATGAAACTTATGCCAAGAACTCGTTTAATGCGATTGTTTATAAGCAACCTCCACTACTTGTGAATATAAGTTCGTAACTATTAGGTGAAACTCACTTATATTCTAGCGTCATATTCATGCATGAAAATTAAGCGTGTACTCTCAATAAACATACATAAATAAGTTATCAATCAAACAGTTAAACAAATTGAATCCACAACTTATGAAACGCAATTAGAAGTAATCAAATCAAAATGCAAGCATAAACATATATTTCGAATCCCCCCCTAACCAGGGGGGGTTTAGTTCCTCATGATACAAAACAAAGAGAATCAAAGAAACACCTAAACATTCCAACAACTCAAACTTGAATTGTATGAACGTTTAGGCCCTCTTCTCTTCCATTCCTCATTCGTACAAAACAAAGGGTATTGAAATTAAACATTGAAATCAAAGAAACACCTAAACATTCCAACAACTCAAACTTGAATTGTATGAACGTTTAGGCCCTCTTATCTTCCTCTTCGTTGTAGCACAAGGTCTAAGGATAGTTTGATGGTGTGAATGGTTTGGGGAGTGGTGAAAATGGAAGGAAGAGGCCACGGCAATGGGATGATTTCTGGTGTGGTGTTTGGATGATTAGGGAGAGAGCACGGCACAAGGGAATGGTTGGTGTTTGTGACTGAAATGTGTATGGAAGAA